CTACTAGTAAGGATTGTATGAAACGTCATTTTTTATTTTATTATTTTATTTTGTAGCCTGCCCGAATAATATACCTGTATTTGAATGTGGCGGTAATCCTTGTGATGGTGCTAGCTGTCCAGGTTATCCCGATGCACTGTGCATCCCGGATTATTGTGGACACTGTCATGCTCTGTGGTATGCTGGAGGAGAGAGGGTGACATGCTCAGGTTAGGATTACATTTAGAGACGAATCATTAAGCTATTGCTCCTGTTTTTTTCTCCTAATAATAATGCAGCTGCTGACCCTAATGTGTGCAAGAAGCCTCAAACAGCGTTAGCGGAGCCGACATGCAGCACGGTTGACTGCCCCTGCCCTGTTGAGCACTATACCTGCCCACAAGACTCTGTCTTCATTGAGACCCGCTCTGACTTATGCTGCGTAACCTACTCCTGTCAATGTCCAAGCATATCCTGTCCTTATTTGATGGAGTGTGGCCACGGGCTCCAGCCAATACCCAACTATTATGGTGGAAGATATCCAGGGAGATGCTGCTCTGAATATTCTTTTGAAGGTATTTTTAACATCACTCGGTTTCTAATGTTTATTATATAACTGTCTATTTTTCTTTTTCCTTGTAGATATTGATGAATGCCATGACCCTAACATTAAGACCTGCTCTGATATCTGTATCAATGAGAGTCCTTTCTTCTCTTGTGCTTGTCCCACTGGGAAAACACTTGCCAGTGATGGAAGAACATGTGGAGGTACTGCACCATTTCTTAGTATTATGTATTGTAAAATACTAATCATTCTTTTCACTGTAGTGTGCTATCATGATGGTCTTCAGTACTTGTATGGGGATACAGTTAAGATTGGCTGCAATTGGTGGTAAGAGCAATGCACTAATGCTTTAAGTTTTTAAGTTTAATGCTTTAAATTTTTGAGTTATGAGCATTCAAAGAAACAAGCCGAATTTATTTTTATTTATTTATCATAATTTTCTGTTTTATTTTAGTGTTTGTGGCTCTGATAAACTGAGTGGTGAGAGATGGTCTTGCAGAGCTGATTCCTGTGTCACTGGCTGCTATCATAATGGATCCCTCTACCCTCCTCTCTCTTCAATACTCCTCCCATCAACCAACTGGTAACGAGATGTTCCTTTAAAAATTTTTTTAATTTTTTTTCATTTATTTTAGCACTTGTGTCCTCACTGATAAATCTGCTGAGTGGTCTTGTACTCTGGTACTTTAAATACATTACATTTTAAAGGACTTCTACTATTAATTTTTTGCATACATTAAGTTAACAAACGCTGCTTTTACCTTTATTACTATACAGCCCAATGTTTTTATATAAACACCTACATTTTTATTAACTACATTTTATTTTTATGGAAATGAATTCATGAATGAATGTTGTGTGGGTGTGGCTCATAAATCCAAGATAGAGAAGGTCGCCGGGCCGGGGACCCTGAAGATTAGGGCAGCTGTAAGTAGGATATAAACAAGAATGGACTTAGATGCGGGGTTAGATGTAAAGCCTGACCTGGTGAGAACCAAATAGAATAAAACTAGCATATCTCTGTGACTCCATTTCTGCTTCTCCCCCCTCTCTCTCTCCCTTTAGGACAAAGCCCCACCTCATGTGGAAGGAGATTTACTGAAGAGAAAAACCAACAAAGGACTCAACATTCTCTCCAAAGCATGGCAGAGACGGTTTTTTGTGGTATGTCTCTAATCATTCCTCTATCTGTCTTTCTATGCTCTCCCTCTACAGGTTCACAAAGATAAGTTACAGTATTACGCTAAGAAAGAGGACTATAAATCAGGAAAGGAACCTCTGAACTCTGTTAGACTTTTAAAAGTATGTAGATGCAGTATGCAATAATAATTTGAAAACTATCACGTATTTTGTTATTGATTTTTGTACTCGTGATAGAAGTATGCATGTAAAAATTTCGTCATAATCATAATTTTGTTACTCCATATAATGTGCATGTACATAGACTCAGTGAGTCTTCAGACTGTGCTATTATGAAAGCACCTAAGATCACATGGGGGACTTCTTCACTATCAGGCTTAATTTGTATATGATAAACAATTAAGTGTAGTACATATACTCTCTCACCATCCATAACATACATGTATATCATCACACTCTCTTTTGCTAGTATAAAAATGAAATTATGCTTATTTAGTCACTATAAGAACCATCTTGCTTTATTTATTAATGAATTGTTATTAGCTTAGAGTTCTAGTATCAACCAAATTGAACTAACAGCCTAGTGAAACTAATCAGCAATTGATCAAGTATCAATTCATTGGCTAATGATGCATAAATTTGCTTTTGCTCATTTCCACTCAACACATCAACTAGTCTAGTCTCTACACATCAACTACTTTTACACCTGTATATGTCATGATAGCCTTTATTAACTGTGAACTTAATGTCAATGTGTGTCATTATGTGTCTTTTCTTCCTTCCTTCTATCCTTACTTTCTGTTTCTCTTTCTGCTTATCTCTTGTCAATTGAATTTGTGGCAAATGAGTCAGCTTTATATTAATAATAAATAACAATGCTTCATTGCACTCACCATTACTGGTTATATCTTATGTATTTCAATTTGTTCGTTATTGTGTCCGTTAAAGCAAACAATTTCTCTCTCCCTTGCTTTCTCTTTCTCTCTCTTTCTCCTTTAGGTTAAAGATATCACAGAGTCAGTTTTTAATGGAGTGCCAAAGAGACATCACATCAACTGTGGCTTCACTGTCATAGAGTTATTGAAGGGCGGAGAAGAAGTTGTATATCACCTTTTAGCTGAAGTAAATGAAATCCTAGAACTTAACAACAACATTCCTTCCATCTCTTTCACTCTACTCTACTTTGTTTTATCTTTTCTTGTCAACTTGCTCCCCCACTCTTTTTGTCTGTCTCTCTCTCTCATTTCTTCTCTCAGACTCCTGATTTAATGAGGTACTGGGTTCATGCCTTACGCTATGTTCGCTCCTATTGGTCAAAACTTGAAGTTAGAGACACAGTCATCAACGAAGACCACGAGAGGAAGCTACTGGAAAGAATACTTAGAGAAGAAGAGAGTGATGATGTATGTTATCAATGTGTGTGTGTACTGTCCTCCCATATATAGTAATAGTTGATATGTGCATACTTGTACCAGGACTGTACCATAGTACTATGGGACTTTGGGTCAATTTTTGAGTAAACTTTTAAAATTTGTAAAAAAACCAATTTTGATCGGAATCAGTTTAAACTTGCAACACAACATAAGAACATGTATATGTATCAGAAAAAATTATAAAAATTGAGAATTCTCTCCTAGTCATTTTTGGCGAAATTTGGCCAAAGACCCTGTACTATAGTACAGGGACTTTGACCTAATTTTTGAGCAACTTTTAAAATTCATAAAAAATTCAAATTTGATCGGAATCAGTTCAAACTTTCTACTATACATAAGAACATGTATATGTATCAGAAAAAATTATAAAAATAGAGAATTCTCTCCTAGTTATTTTTGGCAAAATTTGGCCAAAGACCCTGTACAGGGACTTTGACCTAATTTTTGAGCAACTTTTAAAATTCATAAAAAATTCAAATTTGATCGGAATTAGTTCAAACTTTCTACTATACATAAGAACATGTATATGTATCAGAAAAAATTATAAAAATAGAGAATTCTCTCCTAGTTATTTTTGGCAAAATTTGGCCAAAGACCCTGTACTATAGTACAGGGACTTTGACCTAATTTTTGAGCAACTTTTAAAATTCATAAAAAATTCAAATTTGATCGGAATTAGTTCAAACTTTCTACTATACATAACAACATGTATATGTATCAGAAAAAATTATAAAAATAGAGAATTCTCTCCTAGCCATTTTTGGCGAAAATTGGCCAAAGACCCTCTCCAGTAGTTAAGTGTGTATGTATGTATGTGTGTGTATATATTATGTATGTTATTTCAGATTGTTATTGTTGGTGAATATTCAGTGGACGATGATCATACAAGGCAAGGATCAGCAGACTGGGACAATAAGCAGTAAGCTATTATGAACAACTCCTAAAAAAACTTTTAGCCTCATGTAGCAGTAATAATTATGTATAATCTAACTATATCTATGTACTTCAGTCTCGTGCATATTTATTATATTGACTGTGTCTCTGTAGGTTGTGTATCCCGGTTCATTTTGCTGATGGCAGCAAGACTCTAGTGTATGTGAGTGTTAGCGAAACCATTAGCAGCGTCATAGAGAAAGTGAGGGATAAACTGACTTCATCTGCCAGCCAAATATGGATTGTTAACAATGAAGGGAAAGGTAATGATATAGCTGCTAAACCTTGACGCTGAAACTAAAATGAAGGAGACATCATACTGCTATGCATAATGTGCCCATGGCAATACCTCCATACTATCCTTGTCTCAACACTATGTGTTTACAGTGTGTGTATGTGTTTCAATATAATCTGCTTCAGTTTATGTTGCTTTATTCAAAAGGACGGCAGCAATAACTGTCAGTTTACTTGTACTTATGGATCATAGCCTATTTTTGATTTGTTTATTCATGAAAGAGCTTTCTTATTCCTCTCTCTCTTTCTTTTAGAGATTTCATTGAATCCAAGTGACAGTGTTATATTATACCATCCCAGTGCTCACCAGTTTTTCCTTGTTGATCCTAGCAGTAGAGTAAGGGAGAGGAAATATTCTTTGATCTCATTATCACAATCAATCTCCTCTTTCTTTACAGATAATTGTTGTATTCATTGGTAAAGAGTTTGTAGCTACAATTGTTCCACTAAAGATAACAGCCCAAGAGGTCCAAAGCACACATACATGTACACATTCTTACTATTCATTAAATTAAAACTATCTCCATTAGGTAATAGAAGATCACGATGTAGCCACTAAACTTGATATTGCTGGCATCACTAATAGAGGATTGTTTCTACAGAAAGGAACTGAAGGTCAGCTATTAATAGGAGCAACGTCTTATTCACTCCTTTTCATAATTGATATTAAAGGATGATTACATTGCTGCATTGATAAACATGTTTGTTGACCTTACATTGTACTTAATATTCCATTTGATATTAATTGTATTTTAATTTGTATTTTAATTCCTTTTTTATTTTAGAGCTGTTGTTTGATAGCTCAGAGTGTCCTTGCGAAGCATTGTTCATAGAATCATCTGATGGTAACATTAGAAGACGAGACATTGGTTAGTACAGTAACAGTATACAATTCATAATATTATAATGATGTTAAAGCATGCATACATTGAACTGGGAGTTATGTTCCTTTATAGGATCTCTTGTTATAAAGAATAAGACTATGGAGCACAAATCATCAAAAATACTGCGACAGTCTATCAGAAAAGCAACTGTCATTCCGTCCCCATCTGCCAGCAGACGCTCGGCTGCTCCTCGTATCATTGAAGTCAGTGATGAGTTTATTAATGTACTGGAATTATTGTATAAAGTACAGGAAGAAGATCATAAGAGAGCTTTGGATAAAATCCAGCAACTTCGGGATGGGAGGATAAAGAAAGCACCCCAGATTGTCGAGGGTAATTAGGGTTTTATTATTAATATTTGTTTAATTAATATTGTTTATTTTAATTTTAGAGTCGCCAAGGATACGTACAAGATCAAAAGCATTCATTAGTAAATCAAGTGAATCTGAAAATAGCGATAAAGATGTGAGCTTACGAGCATAATAATATCACACGATCTTAATTTTTTTATTTATAATTTATAATAGCTTGAGCTAAATGTACCAACTGATCCAGAGCCAGTGCTAGGAGGACCAGGGAAAGGAAGGGGAGATGGAGGACTGGAGTTGGCTCATTCATCTCCTAAACCCTCGCCAAGAAGCTCTCCTAAACCCTCGCCAAGAAGCTCTCCCAAACCCTCACCCAGGCATGTCATATCAACCAGACCCAGTCCTCCTACAGCTAAAAGACAAGGAAAGACCATCACTAAGAAGCAAGTCAGGAGAGCTGATGGTAATTATGTCAATAGATTTAGTTCTATTGCGTGTGTGTGGAGAACATAATAGAAATTAGAAATAATTTTAAGGCATGGTTAAAAGTAATAGTATTTCTACAGCTGCTATTGCTGAGACTAAAATGTATGTAAGCCCTTTTTTATGTTTACAGAGGTTGGTATGGAAGAGTCCCGTAGCTCAGGATTTGGTCGGTTTCCAAAAGCTGAAGAACCTAAACTGTCTGACAGCGAAGAAGAAAGACTGAGCAACCTATTCAGCATGAGCTATCAAGAGAAAGAGGAACAAGAACTGAAAGAAAAGCTTGAAACAAAACTCTCATCTTCACTTGAATTACAAGCAAGTTAGTGCTATATTTGTAGCAATATTAGTTTTAATGTGAATATGTGCATGTATTTCATGCAGGTAGTAATGATGATGAGTTTCCTGCTTCTACTCCTTCCTCCCCTCCCCCCAAACCATTTATACTAACTGATTCTCTCATTACTAAACCTCAGACCTCATGCGTGGTCATTCATCGTCCAGCTCTGTTGAAAGTGGTCCTCCTTCAAAGCGAAGCCGAAGACACTAAAGACAGCAATCAAGCCATTAAAAAAATCTCGCTATCTGGTGTTGTGTTGAACTATGTTAACAGAGTGTGGGCCCTTGATGAAGAGAGTCAGTATCACGATGAAGCCTCCATTGATAGTGAAGGAGAGTCGGATCAGAGAGAATACTACACATTGCCTGGGGGTATACGCTCTATTTATAACCCTACTGGAAACAGTTGGACTGTTCTACCACCTCTCCCCCTTCCATCTCCTCTTCCTCCTGCATCTCCTTCTCCCCTGCTTGCACCTCCTTCACTAGTGCAGGCAGAGGCTCAAGTTAATAGCAGCAGGTATGTTAGGCTGTACGTGTTTACTTTTAATGTACCATAATTATAATAGCTAGAAAATTTTAGTTCGGCAATAATCCATGCATAGTATAGATAAGAAATTTTGTGGCCCTAAATTTTGTGAATAGCTAGTAAATCCCCAATTAAGAGTTTGAGCTGGCTCACAAAATTTCCAGCTACTGTATTTGGTATGTGTGCACTATGCATGATGTAAATAATTTAAACTTATTGTTGTACTAAATTACTATTATTCCTTCATTTCCTTGTTCCTCCCAGCCCTGATCTGTATACTGCCAAAAGAGCAATAGCCACTAACATTGGTGCTGCCTTCATGGAAATACTCGGCCTCTTTAAAGGCTCTCTCTCCCTCGACGAGAAAAAGAAAATCGCGTCAGACATGACAAACGAAAATATAGGCCACATGATTCGTGGTAGGTTCTGCACTAGTGTAGCCTACCTCCTCCTGGACGGTGTGAAGCTACAGAAATTAGGCGGACTAATTCAATATGATGTGTGGAAACTAGTCAGCTCATTCTGCCAAGAAGGTATGAAAGGAAAGGATGATTTGATGGAGCTTTTAGAAATGTATTCTTTGACAGTCTTTTAGTTTGATATGCATTTATTTATTTTTATTTAAAAGGTTTAACTACTTCTGATCCAACTGTGACATCAGTCGCTGTGGATATGCAAGTGATGAGGCCAATCAAAGGAGAGAGTCGTCTCGTGACTAATGACATGAAGTTTCGTTCGTTCATCTGTTTGGCAATTTCACGCGGTATCTTTATACAGTGGCTGTCAGAACTGCCTTCACTTGGAGGTAAAGAGTATAGTTATAGTATGAGAAGAAGAAGGGGTTGATTTTATATGTGTGGTAATAGTTAGTTGAAAAGTTAAGGTGGGATGAATCAATTGGTAAAGATGATAAATATGATAATTTTATTTTCGTATGTGTGTCTTTACATTGTGCTGTTTTTGTGTGTAGATACAATAAGGAAGCATTATGGAAAGAGTTCTTTCCTCTACATGGTATACAGTGGAGACAAGTGGTACTGTAAACTCTATGATGAGATATTGCTCTCTCTACAACCCATCTCCTTCTTCCCTTTTCAACTGAGCATTGATTTTGAGATAAAGTCATCATCGCCGTCATTATCTTCATCATCTTCTGCTGGAGAACTTGTAAGAGAACAACCATTAAAGTCTAATGGTATTGGATCTACTGTCAGTCCCTCTCAGTCACTCTCTGAACAAGTAATGGAGTGACTCCTGTCATTTTACGTGATTATGATTATATTTTATTCTAGAGTCCTGATAATAATCCAACATCACTCATTAATGAGAGTCACGTTTTGTCAATGAGAGAGGAGTCACCTATCTCTCCTCCTCCTGAAACTGGACTGCTACTGAATAACGTGTTGAAAGGAAAGTCTACGCCGCAGTGGTTCAAAAGTATCACATCAAAGTAATATTACTTTTATAAGAGACAACCATGAAATGAATGGATTCCTTTACTATACTATGAATATTAATAATATTAATTTTCTTTTTTTAGTCTTGCTAATCTTAATATTGGTGGCGTCCTAACTGGTCCTCCTCTTCAACCCTCTCCTCTTAACTCTCTATCAGTGAGACCAGCTGAGAATGAGCCATCATCTCCAGCAGCACCATCTCCAGCAGTAACACCTTCTCCTCCCTCTCCTCCTCCTCCTCCCTCACAACCAAACTGGTTAGTATATTTGAGAATTTGTTTGAATTTATATCAGGAAATGTAAAACTAGTATATTTTTCATGGTCATGGGTCTATTTTTATTCAAAAATTGAAATCTCTTTTTAGGAAAGTAGTTGCTCTTTATGACTGTTTTGCAGACAGCGAAGATGAGCTCTCATTTAGCAAGGGAGAAATTTTGCAAGTGGTAAAAGAGATTGACAGCGATTGGTTGTTCTGTGAGAAAGATGACAAGAAAGGGATCGTGCCTCTTCTGTTTGTTCAGAAATGCACATAAATGAATTTATATTATAAAACTCATTGATGTGCAATAACAATCATTGTGTTTGTGGTTTTTTTAAAGTATGTTAATTTTTATTGAGTACAGACAAAGTTCAGCTATATTTAGTACGTGAGTCTATATTTAGCTCAGCCATGACGTAACCTAGACGAGGTTCGGCTGTATTTAGTACGCGAGTCTATATTTAGCCCAGCCATGACGTAACCTGATTAAAGCAAAAACATCTTGAGGTGAAAGATTAAATCCTTGGAGGCTTTGAGAGATTTATATAAAAGGAGATCTTTTTGTATCAACTGGCAGAAAAATTTGAGGAAAATCTTTCTATAATAAAGTCTCTATTTATCTACAATGGCACAACAGCATTGCTCTCCACCAAAAACAAATGTCCCTGTCGTCATTGACAATGGCTCATCCACAATAAAAGCCGGTTATGCAGGAGACCGAAGCCCTCGCCTCATTGTTCCTACTGTTGTAGGACGCAGTGGGGACAAGGTGTTCGTTGGAGAAGAAGTAAAAGGCAAAGAAGGCCTGACTTTAGAATACCCCATCGTCCGGGGGGCCATCAAAAATTGGGATGCAATGACTGAGGTAAAAAATTTTAATGCGCATTAAGAATTTTAATTTTTACTATAGATTTGGAGGTATGTTTTGAAGGAATTGAAAGCAGATACTGCTGTCAATCCTATCCTTTTGACTGAGACTGTCTGTGTCGCTAAAGCCGACAGAGAGAAAATGACTCAAATCATGTTTGAGACATTCAACGCCTCCTCTGTCTACCTTGCAAATCAGCCAATTCTCTCCTTGTATGCGTGCGGCTTGTACGATGGCTTGATCCTTTCCTCTGGATATGGAGTGACACAAATTGCTCCGTCTAAAGGTGGGAATTTAATCCCATCCGCAAACCAGCGCAGTGACTTTGCAGGTTATGACATCACTCTGAAGCTACGTGAGCTCCTTCAAGGTGAAGGTATTTCAGTATCTGAAGATGTTGCAAGAGAGATTAAGGAGTCCTCGTGCTACGTTGCTTCTGATAAAAATGCACCTCCTGAAACCAAACCTTACAAGCTGCCAGATGGTAAAGAGATCACATTGGGAGCTCCAAGAAAGGAGGCCACAGAGTTCTTCCTTTCTCCTGCTCTGTTGGAGTCCATGCGTGATACAGTCACAAAATGTGTCAGTGAGAATGGTGTGGAGCCAGAGACACTTTACTCTGCAGTTGTTCTCTCTGGAGGGAATGTGTTGTTCCATGGAATGGCAGAGAGGATCCAGAAAGAGCTGCAGGCCATTAATGGTGGGATACCTGTCAAAGTTCAAGTTGCTCCAGGCGGTACTGCCAGTACTTTTGTTGGTGGCTCCATTTTGACATGTCTTGAGGCCTTTAAGACACTTTGGATCACCAAGGAAGATTACAAGAATGGCGGTCCTGCTATTGTTCACACCAAGTGTGTTTAACTTTAAAACTTGTCCTGAACTTCATTGTTGAAACTTGTGCTTATTTTTGTATTTCAAGTTTTATTTTAGTGTCATAAATTCATTATAAAGTTTTAATAAAAATAATCATTATTACTAGGACTGTTGTATCCAATGCTTTAAAAAGTTAAATAAAATGTAATAATGCATAATAATAAATAATCTAAGCTACATCATTGATGCTAGTAAAACTTTCTGTGAACAATGGAAGGTCCAAATTCGTCATATTCTGGTCTGGTAGTCCAGTAGTTCTGGTAAGTTGAAAGAGATGCTAAAATAGAGCCTCCAATCCATACAGAATACTTGCGTTCGGGAGGAGCAACAATCCTAATATACCGAAGATTAGGACGAGAAGCAGCAGCAAGGCTTTTAATCTCCCTCCTCAGCCTTTCCTCAATGTTTGGAAACATGGTATTGCCTCCTGTTATAATGATATTACAGAAAAAATCTGCACGTGAATCGACATCACACTTCATGATTGAGTCATAGATAAACTGGTGGATGCCTGGAGAGTCCATGCCTATTAAAGATGGTTTGAAAAGAGCCTCTGGACAGAGGTACCTTTCTTTGTCTAGGCTAACAATTCGTCCGTCAGGTAACTCGTAAGGTTTTGGATCTGAAGGCTCTACATCAGAATCAAGAGAAACGTGACTTGAAACCTCCTTTATGTGACGTACGACATCTCTTCCGGAAGTTGTTGAAGCAAAGTAGTGTCCTTTTTTAGATAATGTTCTAGCAAGGAAGTTAGTTATATCCCGTCCTCCAATATCAAAGCGTTGAACACCCCCACTGATGACGTACCCATCATAAACAGGCATAGTTTGTGTCACACCATCTCCAGACTCCATTACAAATCCTCTACTACGGCCACAGGCATACATTGATAGCTGGCATTGGTTTGCTACGCCAAAACCTGGGACATTAAATGACTCAAACATGACCTGGGCCATCTTCTCACGGTGAGCCTTGGGACTGAGCGACGCCTCAGACAAAAGAATGGGCAGATCTTTGGGTGATACACGTAGTTCATACTTGAATACGTGATCCCATATCTATATATCATAAAATAGAACAGGAATAATAACAACAAAGAGTGCTAAGGTTAGCTCCCCATAATTTTAAAATAATTTAAGGACTATGTCTGAAGCAACAAGGGGTCAAAAACAAAGGTGTACCTTATCCATGTCATCCCAGTTCGTGATGATACCATGCTCCATTGGATAGGTCAAAGAGAGAATCCCTCTTTTGCACTGTGCTTCGTCTCCAACGTAATGATCTTTTCTGCCTACTCCTACCATTGAGGGATATGCCGAGTCTTGAAAGCGATCACGACCGATGATCGTACTGAAAACAGCTCTAGGAGCATCATCTCCAGCAAAACCAGCTTTGCACATGCCCGACCCATTATCTAGGACTATAGCTTGAGGTTCATCCTCTGATGATTCTGAGCCTGAGGAAGACGAAAAAGATAAATCATTGCCTTCAGCCATGATTGCATGCTAGATTTAGAAGTCTCCACCCATTAACAAAAATGCACTAAATTAGTTTCTATTTTTAATTATAATTTTGCTAAGGGGGATTTTGTATTTTTGTTCATAAACATTTTCGATGAGCAATGGAAGGTCCAGACTCATCGTAGTCTTGCTTAGATATCAGCATTGCTTTAAAAGTTGAATGTGAGGTTAATATGCACCCTCCTGCCCACACACTAAAGTTGCGTGCAGGTGTGGCATGCAACTTGATCTTTGTATCTTGTGGAGCTAGAGCAGACACCTCTTTCCTCAATCTATCAACAAAGCCAGGCAACATCGTATTACCTCCACAGACAACTACATTTTCCAAGAGACTCCTGCAAATAGATTCATCACACTTCTTGACAGAATCATAAAGTAGGTCATGAACACCAGGATAATCTTTGCCATGTAAATACGGCTTAAAAAGACCTTCAGAACAAAGAAACCTTTCCTTATCCAAACATATAACTTGTCCATCAGGTAACTCATAATTTCTAGGTGCCAAAGTCTCATTGTCACAATCAAGAGAGACATAGCTTAATGTCTCTTTAATACTACGAACTCTTTCTACAGCAATTGAGTGTCCTTTCTTTTCAAGACCTTTAGCAAGGGACTGAGTTACATCGTATCCTCCTAGATTGATATGTCCAATGCCCTCAAGACATGCCTTCTGGTCATAAAAAGGTAAGACTTGAGTCAAGCCATCTCCAGACTCCAAAATGATGCCTTTGCTATCAAGACTACTGGCATACATAGAGAGTATGCACTGGTTTGCTATGCTTAAAGCTGGGACTTGAAATGACTCAAACATGATCTGGGTCATCTTCTCACGGTCAGCCTTAGGATTGAGTGATGCCTCAGTTAAGAGAACAGGATGTTCATCTGGCGATACACGTAGCTCGTTGCAAAAAACATGCTCCCATATCTATTAACTTCCACTAAAAACCATGACAAAATTATAATAATGCTTACCTTTTCCATATCATCCCAGTTAGTGACAATGCCATGTTCCATAGGATAACTCAATGAGAGTAATCCTCTCTTTGCCTGAGCTTCATCCCCAATATAGAAATCTTTACCTAGTCCTTTAGAATGAGGCCTTCCAATGACTGAAGGGAAATAAGATACAGGAGCATCACTTGTACAGAATCCTGCTTTACACATTCCGGAGCCATTATCAATCACCAAACAAATTGGCTCATCATCATCTTCCATGTGTTAATGTTGCTGCAAGCCAGCCACACCTCCCCATCTACCTCCCACGCACATTATCACTTCAATTTTTCTATTATTCATTTTTTTAAAAAGACCTTGAATATCGAATTTTTTAAAATTTCTAACAAGATTTAAAAGAGAGAGAGAGATTATTAAAGATCATACAAGTAACTACACTTTCAATGCATGGGCACTTGTACAACAATAATAATTAATAATAGACACAAATAATCACATCCAAGAAATAAAACAATAATGCTACGGTCCCTGAAATAAACAGGTTATGTTGATAAGATTACTAGAGATGGAAAAAAGTTAAACAGTTTAGAAGCACTTGCGGTGGACGATGGAAGGTCCAGACTCGTCATACTCCTGCTTGGAGATCCACATTTGTTGGAAGGTGGAGAGAGAGCCA